AAGTCATAATAATTTATTGTCAGTTACTGCCATGTTAGATGATTTTGGGCTTCTCATCAGGAAACAGACAAAACTTTGCAATTTGACCTGCAAATTCCTGAGGTTAAGCTTGAAGTATCAGTTCCGTATAATAATAATAAAGATACATGATCATGAAATTCAAATCCAAAAGCTAGTTCAGAACTTCCCATTATATTTAATTGAGTTAGGTACAAAAATATTCCTCTGAATGGGAGTCTTATTATATCATCTGCAGCCTACTGAAAGCATGAAATGACTCATGACACTTATTCAATATTTTTGAAAAGGAATTCCTTGCAAAAAACCCCAGGACTTAGGAATCTCCATGTTACTAAAATTCACTGCTAGACTTATTATTCAAACTATTATATTTTAGGGTAAATGACATATATAAGGCTCAATATTGCCATGTATTATCAGAAGTAGAAATAGTTTTACTTTAATAAAAAAGGATTGATAACTTCCTCTGAACACTATAAAACCATAATCTTGTCAGGTCATTCTGTAATTAGACCTGAATCATGACATCATTGTTATACAAAGAACCACTTCAGATTTGGTAAGAGGATTTCATTCAGTATTCATCACAGTTTTTCTCTTTCTTTATCTTTCAATTTTTAGAGACAGTATGTTCAGGCAGATTTGGCTGCAAAATAAATGGGAGAACAACAATAAAATTTTGTGTCTCCTAAAATATCCTCTGTGGGGTTTTCTCTGTGAAACGTGGCACAATCTTCATGTATGGAACTGCCACACATATGGCACGTATTTTGTGCATGACAGCATATCACATTGTCAGCACATGAAACAGCTTGAAATTTGATGAAAACACACCAGTGGCTTTGAAAAATGACATGAGCTATTTCACAAATGCCACCAAGATATCTAACAAAAGCAAAAAGAATGGTTTTGTTTTGCTACCTGTTTCAGAAAGCAATTTTTTTAGGATATATTGTAAATAGGAGCCTTAGCTGTGCCTGATCACTTCCCAAATAAGCTGTTTAAACACAAAGCATTAGGCTAGAAATCTGAGCCCTTTCAAAGAGGATGGGGCTTAACAATTCACAGTACTAAATCCTGTTTGATCTGCTGAAAAATTCAAGCCAGCAAGAGAATGATTTTACTTAACAGTGCATTGGGCGAGAGAGTTGCCAGAGGTGGGATGTTTTCCTCCTGCTCAGGTCAGGCTGCAGAGCTGGCCCCATCTGCTATTACATGCTGTCCTGCCATCCCCTTTCCTCCTTATAGCCCTGCTCCCTTCTGCTGCGTGTTTGCATGTGTGTGCCTGTGCCTGTGTTCATGTCTGAGCTCCCTTTTTCTGACAGCTGTTGTAGGTGAGTTGTGGATGCATTTTTGGAAGTCTCCTGACACACAGATGCTGCATCCCTAGCCCACAAGAAGGTACCTCATTCTCCTTGTGGATGCTGCCCAGGTGAAATATAAATATGCACCATTAATGACCGAAGAGAAAAAGAGTTTTTCCCTAGTGTGCTGATAGATGGATGCCCTCCTGCTGTGGATGCCTCTGAGGGCTGCCTGTCAAAGCCAAGAGCACAGGGAGCTGCACATCCCACATGTGGCAGACTCACTGCATGCTTCCTTGCAATGAGCTAGAGCTGGGTCTTGGAGAAAGATGGAAAATTCGTCAAAACGTTGCCACTTTCACAGAAAGCTGGGTGAGTTCCCTTGCTTTTAATAGAATGTACCTTTATTTTACTGCTGAAAATGCTAATGCAGAAAGCAGCTGATCATATCCTGTGCAGCTCACATTATTTTTATAGTACTTTGTCTTTGGAATAAAGTAGAGCACACTGCATGTAAAGAGTGGTAAGGATTTTATGGAGGAAGACAGGCCATGGGTTCCCATGGATGCTCTTGGCTTCCTCCAGACCTTCGAGAGAAGTTGGGTGCTATACTGTACCATCAGGCACATAGTAGCTCCTCAAAAATAAAAAGGATTGTTATTTGTCACTTTAAAGAGGGTTCAGCATGCACTTGCCTATTTCAGTTGTTTAGAGCATTTCATCACGCACTTGTGCAACACCTCATCCTAATCCATGACTGCAGCTCTTTGCCTCTGCAGTAACACAAACAGTGTTGATAAATTAATGTCTGGGTTGGCAGTATTGCTAGTGTCTCCAATTATGAGAAAGTGTTTTTGTTTAGAGAAAATAAATCAAATGGCAGATTCCACTGTCTCTCAGCCTTCCTGTCTGTGAACAAGCTGGTCCCTGTAAACCCAGTGTAACTTGCTGTGGGGGAAGAGGCATTGTGGAAGCCTCTCTCATCCTTGAAATAAAGGTAATGCTTCTATAGGTGTTCCTTGGGGATCTTTTCTAGCAGAGTCAACTAATTCAAAAGGAGAAGGAAGGGGATTATTGAAAACCAAATACGAAGGTTTCACAAGTAGCAAGAACCAGAACAGGCAGAGGTGAACTGCATTGCAAACATGATGCTTCTTCTTCGAAAATCAGAAGCACAGAAGTAACAACATGCTCTTGTTCCCTCTCCAGAATTTGGGACTGTTTCTGTACATGATGCAGAGTGGACAGCCAGAATCCTTGGATAACCAGTTTCTTCAGCTGCGCTCTCTCAAGGCAAACACTTCTGCCTCAGGCTGGTCAGCTTGAGTTCACATAACACCTTGGCTGAGACCAAGAAAATGTCTGGCATTGCTCAGAAGTACCTCACCAAGAATAAACATTAACAGAGCCCTGGAGCCACTGCTCTCCAGTGCCGTTCTCAAGGGCTCACTGAGTTTCCTGGAGGCACAAGAACCAGCTGCCAAGTAGCACTGCTGGCCTGCTGGAGAGTTGCATTGGGAGACTCTTCCAGAACGGACCACATGCTGCCCTCAAGCCAGGGAAGTTTCTAGTCATGTGTATCTGTCCATGCTACAAAGAGCCATGGAAACCTGTGGCAGACAAGGGTTATTAACGTTGTTTCCTTGGGTTTCATGTCATATCTATGTCAGGATATAGTAATGAATACATACAGTAATTTTGTTCAGTACCCTCACAACCTTAGAGAGATGGAAGGCAGGGAGCCTTTGCAAGCAGTGTTATTTGATATCTGCAAGACAGTAGATAGAAGCAGAGAGCTGGGAGGAATAAAAAGGGTCCTCCATCATGTGCAGTAACTGCTAAGCTATAGACAGCAGAGGGGTAGCCAAGAGAGCAGGATGTGCGAAGTGCTTACACACAAATGCAGGAGTGAAGACAGCAAGGGCAGCCTTACCTCCTCTTTATATCTCCCAGCTGCTGCTCCCTGGGCAAGCTCAGCTCACAGACTACAAAGTCTACATGACAGAACAGCAGCTGGGACATATAAAGGCAGGGATTTGAATGTTTGCATTTTCAAACATGAAAACACTGCATCAGAGTCCAGCCACTGCTCGTAGTTTCCCCTGCCCAGGCTACCTTCAGCGCCATTAATCTCAGGGAAAAACTGGATCGGTCTTTGAGCGAGAGTTTTCCTCTCTGATTACAGTGTTTGGACTAAACAGTGCCGCCTCAGCCCTAGATGCTAGAGCTGTGCATCAGATGCACTCCCATCTCCTGCTGGAGGATGCTGTGTTAAGGGACTGCCACCTGGCAGCATCTCAAGGAACTGCAAACACCCTAAGCAGAGATGGAGGTTGGTGAGCACCTGCCTGCTGGGAGACCCGCAGGTGCACCCAGGAAGGAGAGATCAGGCTTGAGCCAGACTGGTATTGATGACCCATCTATCTGGTGTTAAATGGTTGTTACTGCAATGAAAGACACTAGGCTGGTGCAACATTTGACATGGCGACCACCTTATCAGGGACTTTCCCACTCAGTTACAAAGCTGTTTTTCCTTTGAGAAAAATCCTACTGTTTTCCCTCACTTCAAGTTGGCTGAAGAAGCCTGAACTATTGGCGCTTAGCCATTGCCCCTTTTTAGCTAAGAGCTGAGCTCTTGCTTTGTGAAGATATACTGGGGGCACTTGTCCTCCACTTTGTCCCCACTCTCCTGGCAAAGCAGAGGAGACCAAAGGTGACAACTTTACTGAAGAGTGGTATAGGATTAAAATAACAACAAAATAAACTCCCTTGGCCAAGACCTGGTAACCCAACTACTTCCATTTTCAAGTCCTCAGTATGGTCCACTTGCTCTTGCAGCCCTTAGTTTTTTTCTGTTTTGTGATAAGCAGGCAAATGAAACTATGAATATCACAACAACACATGCCCTGGATTTTCCCCCAAATAAATCTCTTGGCCATCTTGTCTAAAGCTTTCTAAACTAGCCAACTTTGAAAGGGAGCACAGAGCAAACATTAAGTCATTTTTCTAACATTTTGGAAGACCTCAGTTGTCCTACCCTTTGGAAAGTGTCCTCTGCTGCCCAATATCCAATATCCAAACAAACTTCCAGACTTCAATTTATAAACAAAGACCTGCATGAGCAAGACAAATTTGAGGCTTAGCTGAGCCTGAGAGGCTTTTGCCAATAGCAACTATGCTTAGCAGGTGAAGAGCCCTTGACCAGCAAATGAACTTCAGTCATTACTATTGGTAGTAGTAGGCTTTAATTATCTTTTAGTAATTCATGCACAAATTTGCATACAGAGAAAAGCTCAAAAGAGATTGAGAGCTGGAGAGGCTGAGCTCCTTTTTGCTTTTAGAGTCAGCACAAACAGTAGGCTAAGGTCTTGAACCTCATCACCACCACACCTCTCAGGACCGTTGCTACATGTGACAGGTCAGTGAACCAAATATGTTCTATGTATGCTGATCTATTGAGGCTACCATGGAATTCGCCAGTGGATGGCAAATGAAGACTTTTTTCCAAGCAAGCTGTAGAAAAGCCTACTCTGACATGTACTCAGGACCAGAGCTGATGTCCGATATGTGAAAGTGTCCATGTACCCTCCTGCAGATGCCCTGTGACACCCAGATCCCTTTCGTCCTCCAGACTTCGTGGCGCTGAAGGCAGCAGGGAGGTCTGTGATGACTTACCAGTCTGTGTGTGCATCATCAATCACCAGGAGGATCTTGGGTTTCTGGGCCACAGGTGGTGTGGGGCTGGCCGAGTGGTCAATTAGTCCTGCAGCTGCTTGCGTGGTTTGCTTCATGGCACTGGAGATGGAGCTGAAGATGCTGGAGCCAGTAGAGGAGGAGTGTGAGGGCTGCAGTGGCTGCAGATGCTTTCTCTCCATGGCAGGAGAAGCTGGGGAGCTCGTGGAGTTGTCAGGGCGCTGCAAGTCCGTCATGTAGCCATTGGGCAAATTTGCCACAAAGCTACTGTCTGAGAGACGCCGCCGGAGGAAATTCATCGTTGAAGTGTTTTGTGGAAAACTTCTCAGCAAGATGAGGCTGAACAACAGTGTCACCAGTCCTGGGCAATATTTCTGTAGGTGTGTAGGCTACCTCCTTGCAGTCCAGGCAGGCCCTGATAATTTTTAAAAGAGACAAAGCTTAATTCTGGTATTTATTTTATTTTAATTTTTTTGTGTTAGAAATAACACACATAATATGCTTGTTACACAATAATCAGCAAATGGCCTAACAGGATAAAAACTTGAGTCATCTTTGGCAGGCTTGTAAGTAAGGCTCTGCATTTAAGGAAAAAGTGTTCTAAACTAAAATAGCATGTAGAAAATAAATAGTGGAAAAGGCCTCATACACATGTTGTTCAAGTTCAGGGACAGCTTCAAAATACTTGTTTCTGTCCCTGCAGCTCTCTGAACTTGGAATTAGACTTTGAACCAGGTGCATGCTGGTGGTTGCTAGATTTAGCAACCTACTTGATTTGACAAGTTCACTTTTAGGATTTTTGCAGGTACTCAAAACTGAAATTTGATTGTCTAATTTGGTTGTCGTTATTTTTCCCTCCTCCTTTTTTACTCTGCTCATCTTTTCCAGTGAAAAAAGGAACATTGTGAAATATAACTGTCTCTTTTCCCATGACTGTAATATGATGACTTTGTTTTTATCCAGGACAGTACATTTTTCAGCAGTTAAATAGTCTCAGAGTTAATACAATAACTTTTTAAAATACATTTTGTACCTGTAGGCATAGCCCAGAAATGAGATTTCCACAATAACTCCCCATGACCTTTCCTCTGCTGAGAAACCCTTTGGGTCTTGACCAGAGGCTGGTTTGTGAGATTTAGGGTGAGGAAAAAAAAAAGAAAAAAGATAGAAACATATTGTTGGTGAAACATCAATATTTTTCAAGACAGACTTACCTGCAGCAACAAAAGTGATAGTTACACCATTCATCAAGTGAGACGAGTCACACAAATTTGGCCTCCCTCAGTGCCCGTGCTCTTGTTCCAGCTCCTGGTTGGTCCAAGAGAGCTAGGTACCTGTGATCTCCCCCCTAGAACCGTGGCTCAGAGCTCATGGAGCATCCAAGCAGCTTTCTCAAAAGAAGATGCCATTTGTTTTCACCTATAGGGATTTACCCATTTTTAGAGACAAAGGATTCAGACTTGTCTTTTTTTGCACCTCTCTCAGCCTCCAGAACCGTAGTGAGGCTTGGATGAGCCTGGCTGAAGTAAGTGAGCTTCAAAGATCCCTTGGCACATTTTCCCCAAATCTCATCACCCGTCACCACCCTGATGCTGTGGGCACAGGATCCATCTGGAGCCGAGGGCTCCCTGCTGCAGCTGCTGACATGGCTCTATTAGCACAATTTTTCTTTTGATTTCTTAGCCCTGGCAGTACAACTCCTCTGACTTCGCCAGAGCCTGGAGGTAGTCTTTTCCCAGGGAACAGCTCAGGAAATCTTTAACGACTTCCTGCCACATCTACAGTTGATAACATATCTCAGGGCATTATGCTGACTTCCCGCCCAGTCCTGGGCGCACCCGGTGACCTCACAACATCAGCAAACGCGTGCACTGGTGAGAGCTTTGGTAGCACGGTCTGTTTATGCAGCAACTGTTCCAAGAAACAGGTAACACGTTATCCAGGAATTATAAGGCAGTTACTCACCTTGGATATATACACAGCACTTGGCCTACTCATGCACTACCACACTGCCTACCTGTGAGTGTCAGGGCAGAGCCATCCACTTTTACCTGCCCAGGATGACTAGGGCAGTAGAACCTACAAAGACTTTGGGGAATTTACATCCTACAGGCTGGGTGAAAATGTACTGTGGTCTCCTGTGCTCAGGAACCCGTGTTTTCCAAATTGCACAAGACAAGTAAGAAAAATCCCCTCATTTTAACAACAGTCCATGCAAGAATAGCTTTGGTCCTGGTTAAGAGGAGGATCCCAGAAATCTGTCTACTGTCAGAAGACCTCAGAATGGCTATCCTATTACCACGTACAGCAATTAGGCATGCTCTCTTGGAAGACCTTGGCACTAACTGGCAAGGCGTGGGACACAATTTCAATACCAGTCTCAGGAAAATCTGTTTCAGCATGAGACTCCTTCCCCTTGCACACTTTGCACAGCATAACACAGAGCTTCTGCTTCCTGCTGTGGCAGCTCTCAGCCACGGGAGGGAACATGGCCCCAGCTGTACAGGCTGGGCGAGGCTCTTTTCATGAGCCAGAAACCCTGGGACACGATTCAGCAGGACTTGCCTTCTCCTGAAAGTGTTTCTGTCTCACTGCCAGGTACTTGCATGGCTGCTTCCTCCTCTGTGAGCTTTTCACTCTCCAGAACATGGACCCCTTGCAAAGTATCAACAAGCAAAACAATGGGCAAATATCTCTACTCTGAAACACACTGTGGAAGAAGGGCACAGAGGCACATGCCATACGGTGTCCCAGGGCTGGGAAGGGCCACAGTACCCCAAGATGTGCCTGGAAGGCACAGAGGTTTCCTTTACAACAGGGCATCCCAAATTGTACCTTCTGGGTGCCATCTACAATAAACAATTTATCATATTTATTTTGCAAGGCTATGACCACTTGCCTCCTGGACTATTTTAGACAGCAATATTTACAGTCCCCCATCATTTTTTCCACCAGGGGTTTGATAGTAGAAGATGTTGCCCAGGAGACACTGGGAGCTGGCAAAACTCCCTTGTCCAGAGAGTCTGGGATGCGGGATGGAGGCTGGACTTTCCCTCTGCTGGCAGGCACTATGTCCCATTGCTGTGAAGGCTGGGCAGTGTGCCGTCAGCTCAGGAAGGAAGGAGAGAGAACCTAAGCAACTAATGTCATGGGGAAATCTCCCTCCAGCAAATCACGTGGAGGCTAAATTCAAACCTGATTGCACTGCTACAGCAGAGAGTAACTCCACTCTGGGGTATGGGATGGCAAACCTATCAGGAATTTTGATTTTGGGTCCATCAAAGCAAAGGCACAAACTGTCTTCCTCTCACTACATATATATTTCTAATGAGCTGGGTAATGTAATTAAAAGAGACACTTTTTTTAAAAAATGGAGTTACCAGTGACTTTGCTGTATTGATTTATTGATTGCCATTTGTGCCACCTCAGAGATCTCTGTAATGGCAGCAGTGTAAACTGCTAACAGATTCGTTTGTTTCCTGGAAAACCTTATGCTTTGCTTCTACATCATGCACACTTGCTGTTGTTTAACTTCTACTCTTAGAAACTCCGCATGGACATCCTGAGGGCTCAGCACATCAGGCCAAATCTGGCTCTGTGCAGTACTCATGGCATGCAGCTCTCGTGCAGCACGGCATCTACCCAGGGTACGTACAGATCTTACCCCAGCAGGCAAGTAGGGCTGTAACTTCAACAAAGCCAGGAGCCAACACCTCCTTCAGAAGCAAGACAAATTTGCTAAGTGGTATTGTGTCACTCCAGAACCACAGGGAGGAGAGCTGCTGGCTCTACACCACCAAGTTCTACCTTGCCTCTATGTACACCAGTGTCTTCCTATGGCTCCCAAAAGCTCACTGGAAAAACAGTGGGGATCTGGGCCATGTAGGTTAGGGAGCTGGGCTATATTTCATGATGGCAAAATAATAAAAAAGGCATAGGAGAATGAGTGAGTCCTAAAGAAAGTGAGCAGGCAGGAGAGAGGTGAAGGGGAGGAGGAGAAGGCACAAGCAGAAACAGAGGAAATAATAATTGAATCATAGAACGGTTTGGGTTGAAAGGGACCTAAAAGATCATATGGTTCCAATCCCTCTGCATGGGCAGGGACACCTCCCACTAGACCAAGTTGCTCCAAGCCCCATCCAACCTGGCCTTGAACCGTCAGATACCAGAAGGTGGCTATGAGGTCTCCCTGGAGACTTCTCTTCTCCAGACTGAAAAACCCTGACTGTCTCAGCCTGTCCTCGTAGGAGAGGTGCTCCAGCCCTCACACCATCTCTGTGGCCCTTCTCTGGACTTTCTCCAGGAGCTCCATAGCCTTCTTATGTTGAGGGATCCAAAACTGGGCACAGTACTCTTAGCCTGTCAAGCTCCCTCTGGATGGCCTCCTTTCACTCCAGTGTGTCAACCTCACCACACACTTTGGTGTCATCAACAAACTTGCTGAGGGTGCACTCAGTGCCACTGTTCGTGTCGCTGACAAAGATGTTAAATAGCACTGGTCCAAGTACCAACCCTTTGGGAGCACCACTCATTGCAGGGTCTTCATCCAGACATCAAGCTTTTGATCACCACTCTTCAAGTGTGACCATCCAGCCAGTTCCTTATCCAATAAGTGGTTTATCTGTCAAATCCATATGGTTCCAGTTGCAATACCAGGACATTGTGCGGGACATGTCAGATGCTTTGCACAGGTCCAGGTAGATTATGTCGGTTTCTCTTCCTTTGTTCACTGATGCTGTGACCCCATTGTAGAAGGCCACCAAATTAGTCAGGCAGGATTTGGCCTTGGTGAGGACATGTTGGCTGTCACCAATCACCACATGCCTTAGCAGAGCCTTCAGGACTATCTGCTCCATGACCTTGACAGGCAAAGAGGTAAGACTGACTGGTCTATACTATAGTTCCCTGGGTCTTCTGTTTTTCCCTTCTTGAAAATAGGGATTATGTTTCCCCTTTTCCAGTCAGTGGGAATTTTGTCAGACTGCTATAAATAAATTAATATTCTCCAGACTGCTGTAAATAAATAAGCAGGAATTGGCTTATCCAAAAAACCATGTGGGAATATGTGGAAATCCCAACAATGAGAATCAATGTGAACAACTAAACAAAACAAGAGCAAGGTCAATTAGACCTGACCTTGAAAACAAGAGCAAAGAGGCTGGCACTTTCATCCCCTTACTAACACGCAGTTACACTTCCTGGCTGATATTTTTGGAAGTAATATGCTCCCTAAGCATGTTGACAGCAGCCAGGCACCTACCTGCCTCTTTCTCAAGCACATACTCCACAGAGACGCAAGTTA